GGACAATTATTTATCGGACCTTTATAATCCTACATTGTGAATTTCAGATCAAGCCAACAGCATGGATGAACACATTCAGTATCTCGAGACACTTTGTTGTCTTTGTGGCACAAATCTGCCACGGACCTGGGTCAGTGCTACAAACAAAGAATCTTTTAAATCGGAGCTCTGGATGAAATTTCGAATCAATGTCGATCTTGACATCAGAGAGATTCATTCAGCCAAGGCGAATGCACACTAAAAAATAATTTCAGGAAACCACGGATCTAACACATAAATGTGATTATCCAGCGAGTAAGTTCTCCTTCGGGCAAACATAAAACAAAGAGGTATTCGTTCACTGAGCTCTCACATCTTTAGGTATCGTATCCGGGAAATGTGCGATAAGAGCGGCATGAAGATGAAAATAAAGAAATCACATTGGTGGAAAGCCTTGCCGAAGTGTCTCTATTACAGCATTCCGGAAACAAAGGTTAGAGTTTAACTACACGAACTGATGAGAGTGAAATTTTCGTCTAAAACCACAAGGGACTTGTCTGTAATTGTGAAACTCGTTTAGAAACACCGCTCGTGCTTTCACATTTTGCAGTGATTACCTAAACAAACTTTCTATACAGGGTGTTCAAATCAAAGGGTAATTGTAGAGGACATATTATTACTGACTAAAAGCTGTAGGACCGAATTTGTAGTGTTCTGAGACCTAGATTCTCCCGCGAATCGATTAATAGCGCGCAAAATACCTAGTATGATTCTCTTGCATTGAATTCGATCATGTGTATTCGTCTTAATATAGATTGTGACTACTTGATTTTATTTTATCCCACTCATGTTTTTATTGCCGTTTATTTTCCAGGTATCATAATTTCAAGATCAAAGCTCCACGTGGAACACCGCTTGTTATTCAAAGTGAAGACGACGACACGTATGACTCGCATGCACTGGCTTGTCTTCTTCCACGAGAAATGGAACGCATTCCAGAGGCTCTACGAGAAGTCAAGATTTTCAGCAAATCGCAGAGAAAGACATACACTTTAGGAGATGTCAAAGGGCAGCAGATCGGCACGGTTCAGCACTTTCTAAACATACAGCTGCATGCTTTGCTTCGATGTGGCAAAATAACCAGGAATTGAAGGGTGAGTTACTGTTTTCTTGCTTTACTGTTACTTTTTCGTAAAGGCTTGCTGGACTGAAATTGACAATGTCTATTTAAAAATCGAAAAGAAGCAAGATATTGTCTTTCCTCGACCTATACTGGAGAGAAATGAAATTGTCCCCATTCCGCGATCTCACACCTCACTCGTCCCAATTGTTATCAGTGCGCGTTATTTGGTTCAACTTTATTTAATTCGTTTTCTTGTAACCCAAAATAGGGAAATCAACGGAGAACGGACAATAACATCTAGGTCAAGCTTTACCCAGAAGTTCTCCAGATACAAACAGGCTGGCGGAGGAGCTTTTACTCCTGTGACGCTCTTGGTGGAAGGACCACAGCGTTACAAAGAATTTGTGCTAGAAAGAATCCGCTTTACTCTTCCAGAATGCGAGAATGTCGAGGACATGCATGTTGAATGTGTGAAATAAACGAATATTTTTAATGGTACCTTACGTCCAGTCCTTATTAGCGAATTTTGTTTCAGCTGACTACCTTACTACCGCATTACAACATGGCCGCCACAAAAAAAAAAAAAAAAAATTAGCTTCTTCTTGTTTCCATTACCTTTTGATCTCACCCAATCACAAAGCTCGAAACCGATATCCAGAAATGGTTATGGCCCGAACTGTTTAATATATAAGCCTGTTCTCGTGGCGAAATTTTATTAGATTAAAGGTTACATGCTGTTAAGATGAACAGTTTCCAAATGAACAACATGAAATATTCAGAATAAACCTCAATCTTTACCCCTTTCTCATTAATTGACTGATAAAAAGACAATAGGTCGTCTAGAGTTGAGAGTCTGCTTTCGGCGGCTCTGTTTATCCAGATGACGATGGAGATTTTTTTTGTACTTAATGGTGATTTGTCTTTTCACAAGTCATAAAAAAGCTTTTATGGACTCAAAACACGCGGCAGTCATAAGTTGGCCGAATAAATTTCGCCTATTTTTGAGACCGTTTCATGTTCTTGTTAAGTCGAATTTTCGAAAATGCACGCAGTTTGTTGGCCAGATATTCTAGAAGTTTGCCGAAACCACAACAAGTTTTTATAATTCCATGCACTTCTACTTTATTTTAGCGAGTCTTAATTAAAAAATCGTGGGGAAGAAACTGGAATTTTGTGTCGAGTCAAGATAAAAAGTTGCATATTTTCAGGTCATGACGATAGCGTCAAAGTGGGTGTCAATCAAAAAAAGATTTTAGTGAAAAAACCGTTACTTATGTGCTATGTTCTTATAAAGGGTTGATCTAAATATGCGAAAGGAAACAAAACCCTCAAACTGAGATTTTGTGAAAAGACGAGCTCGGTAATTTATGCTATTTCTGATAATCGGTGTGGTTAAAAACGGGCGTTTGAGCACCGAAGCGATTTTCTCTTGCTTCGAAGCAGAAGTAAAGGTAAACCTTGCTTCGCTTATTATCATCATTTTCCGCTCAAAGGTTATTAAGCAGCGAGATTTATCGCGCGTCATCATATAACTCTAGACAGAAATTATCAGGCATACAACCTTACCTAAAAGCCAAATTGGACAGGCCGGCGAGTAGAATTTCTTCCTCGCGAAGTAATACACAGTAAAGACCTTACCTTAAGGAATGAACGATGCCCCCTTTTCGCAGATACCACCGGAAACACTCGTACCTTCGCACAGAATTTTCGCGGGATAAGTTCCCGCGCTTACCTGATGATTGGGACTTACTAAAATGATATTTTATACCGAAAGAGCTCCTTAGTATGGACGCCAGAAAAGTATTATAAAAATATCTACCCAATCGTTTCAAGTGTTAAATGATACTCTTGTATGAAATTAGGAGATCCTCGCAGCTAAGAACACTACTGAAACGAGTAGTTGTAAATAGGACCTGAAAAAAATTCCAGGCCCGTACGGGATTTGAACCCATGACCTCTGCCATACCGGTGCAGCGCTCTACCAATTGAGCTAACAATTGGTAGAGACTGGGTCCAAAGCTGTTCTTAGCTGCAAGGATCTCCTAATTTCATCTTTCCACCGCAGTGCAAATATGTGAATTTTCATATATCTAAAATCTTCATTCACTTGGATGTTTATTTGGACCCAATTCATTGACCAGCTCCCAGTTGGCTTATAAATATCTATTGCAATACCATTGCGATCCAAGGTTAGCGAATGGATGCCGCCCTTGAAAGTGTTTTCAGGAATTCAGGAATGTAGACTTCTCGAATTGCATGGGCAAGACACGTCTATGTATACCCTATCCTTTGGAAAACTTCGCCACGTTCAGTTTAGAGCGCATATGGTTCACTGAATCGAAGAATAATAAATAGCTCTCACCTCACTTAAGATGCTGCTTCAGAAAGGTCTCTTTCAACCCTGAATGGATCAACTGATTGCGAACGATCAGAGGGTCGCGAATTCCCACGTAGACTCTGTGACCCCCTTCCGCAGTATGATTTTATCGTGTCAGCGGTCGTCTCACTTTAGTAATAATAAACGAGGATCCGCCTGCAGTTAACCAGCGGTATCACAATTGATTACTCTACTCTGATCAGTTGGGTTCCGGAGTTGAAACCTTGCAGGATTTTGTTAGAATTTACGTTAAGAAAAGGCGAATTGAATGGTAGATTCAAAGAGGAGGTAAGTACATGGGTAAAAAGGAATGCTTTATTAGACAACTGCAAAACTTTTCCGTGTATAATTTTTAATACAGTAAAAAAGCTGAGCTTCCAAGGTGGCCATATATACTTTGCCGTTAAGATCAGGAATAGGTTCGTCTTCTTTAACAGTCTATTGGCCCATTGAAAACTTAATAGTTGACATTAGTTAAAATTAAGAACAAGTAAGCATTATTATCGTAAAAAATATGAAGCTTTTAGAAGCTGGCCAGTAAGGTAGTCTTGGCTTATTGCAGAAAGAAATGTAATGGTTTCATATTAATAATTAGTCATGGTGAAGAGCAGGTCCTTCACAATAACAGTTTGAGTTGGTGAAGGGGGGCCTCAAGTGTGATCGTATGAGCTGGGAAAACTTGGATTTCAAACTACTGCAGGGAGGGGGGAGTTGGACAGAAGGGTCTGAACATCCTGATTCCCAAAAGGCATACCCTTATTAAATGGCTCTTGCCTCTGTTTTATTTTCATTGCAAAAGTTTATGCAATTTTGCTAAAAATTTTACCCAGTTCCTGCCCCTCTTGCCTCCAGTACACCTCCCATCCCCTATTCTCATGGGTTCCCATCCCCCTGTCCCCCACCAAATAACTCTTAGATACTGGGAATTGCTTTTGAAATTAGGAAAGAAAGTGTTTATACACAAACCAGTGACAAACGTGTTATACCCGAAATGCAGTGGGTTTTTTTTTTGTTGTTGTTGTTAACAGTACAAGGATATGAATTATTTAGAACTGGACCTTCTAAATTTTATCGTCAACTCCAATTCCATAATATTTTTCACAGGTTAATGCTTCAGCCATTAGTCTTGTAAATGGTTGGTAAATGGTTTATCAATCAGATTGGAACGTACAGGGTAAAAAAGGGCATTTTATCACGAGCTTCTGGAAGTGTGTCTTCAATTTTCTCTTCAGTAAGTTCTTGTTTAGTATTTTATCTTTTGCTTGTTTGTGTGCCTTTTGGTTCTTTCTTGTTTTCTTTACAATTACAGTTTCTGAAAATATTGGTTCCATGGTTCTTGTCCAAAATCACTATGCTAAAGGAAACGTGTCAAAGGAGATCCCTGTTCCCTCAAAACCGGAAATGGATACCTTTTATGCTAAACTTAGATGTTTAATGAACACAGTTTCTGAAAATATTGGTTCCATGGTTCTTGTCCAAAAAGATGTTTAATGAACATGACATATCTATTTCATCAGTTCCTCAGCAAATGAGTGCTTAAATCAAGGAACATTTGCTGTGACTGTAACAAGGAAGTACTACTGATCACATTCAGTCGGTCAAATTTTGACTGACTTAAATGATTGGTCTCTTAACAGTACACCTCTTGGGCCCTTTTACTGCATATTCTTTGGAAAAAAATGATTTAAATTATATAGCTTACTTTAGAAAATACACTTTCTCACAATTTTTTTCCCTTGAATGTAAATTTCAACAAGCTGAGCCACAACTCCATCACATACTTTAAAAATGAAAAGAAGACTCCCAGATAGGTTGCTATTTGTGTGTATTTTAAGCGTATGATCATGGACAATAAAAGAAAGGATTTTGCAATGCTGTTGCAAAGTTCACTCCTAAACAACTAGCATGGAAGAACTGTCCGCATCTATCGCAGCCAAGCCAGTCTTCACTGTCATCCATCTGACACACCTTGCAAACAAGAACATCCCTTCCTCTGCCAAAAAGTGAAGTAAAAGTTCAAAATGATTACTTAATTCTCGATTTGTTTTTTGGGATTAAACACAATACACAGTGGTGATTCTAATGATAAGAAAGGCATAATTATTGTACCTCAAAATGTCATCGTAACAGCTGCCAAACAGGTTGGATAGAAGCTTCATTCTCTCAATAGAAACATTGACCTTTGTGATCGGTCTGTTATCACACGAGTTCCTGGCAACTAACAATAGATCTTACAGTTATATTATATATGATGTAAGATTGGTTGATGTAAAAATTTAAATATTCTGATTATGTTTCTTTAAAAACTGCAATGGAATGACATCATATTATTTTGACTGTTTAATGTCAAAGATATTGATGGAATTGGTACCTATGAGCTTACTTATCTAATGCTTTATACTACTCTAAAGATTACCTTACAAACAAGTACTCCACAGTTGAATCCATCAGTTTGCTGAAAATGGGGTGGCTCGAGGCATGCCCACTCTTTACTTTTCCAGCGTGTTTTGATGTCAGCAACCTCACTACAGAAAGATTGCAACCATTTTCATAAATGCTACTGGATATAGCTACAAAAATGAGTTATGAACATTGTCTCAATATTGGCCATTCATAACTATCACAACAATGAAACACAGGGTCTTGCTGGAAATACAGAAACTCACCTTATGTTATTTATAAGTCTGTACTGGCTGGGATTGGAAGCTGCTGTTATTTCATTTGGATGTTTGTTTCCATGAATAGGATCAATGTAGACACGGATAGATTCCTTGTTATCTAAAATCTTTGAACACATTTATTTTATGTCGTCAAACCGAAGTCCTGAGTCATGTGAACAATGTTCAATTTATCTAAAGAATATAATACAAATTTTAGAGATGACTATTTTATAAAAAAAAATGTACAGTATGAATAGCATCCTCGACTTACCAGTAATGTCCAGTGATGTCCAGTGATATTCATTGGAATAACAATTTTTTCAATTCCATGGAACCTCTCGCCCATCCACAATCTACGGGTACTTGCCCCATGTTTCACCAACTGACAAAGGGTACTGTCAGCAGCAAGGATTTTTTGGTCGGGTTTGGTTAGTTTCCACAGTGTAGCATCAACGATCTACAAAGAGAAGCACAACGAATTTAACAACTGAAGATATACAAAATTAATCTTTCAAATAGTTACTGGAAAACAGTACTGCTCACCGTATCAGTTAACCATCCATCTACAAAACTAGGGATCTCCTCTTTAATTTTCTGTGTTTCTTTTGCAGATAAAGTGCCAGGAGGAAGAGTGGCTAGCAAGTCAGAAACGGTTACTTTGAATGGCCCTACTTCCAGTACGGAATCGCGTATACCAGTGTTGACTTGCAAGGTCTTAACTCTCGTCTCTGCGTCACACAACTGTACTTCTGACTCTCCTAGCTGAGAAGGCCTGTATATACACCACAACAGTAGATCAAAAGAATAGTCTAAAAGGTTGATAAATCGTTCCCTACTTAATTGATAGAATATTCGAAGAGTTATGATCACTGTCCTGTATTACTACATTCGATAGAATTATACCTTGGTGAGATACGAGCAGAACTCTCGTGAATTGTGCCAGTTAGCTCATCATTATCCATGTCGTTATCCGCATCATTACACAGTTCAAGTTCATTATCGTCATCAAGAGACACATCACATATCGAGTCAACCCGCAAATAAAACATTGGCACATACAAGATAAACGTTTTACACGTTGACATAAACAGTTCTTTCAATCGTTGTGAGAAAACAACGAATTATACCAACCTCTTCTAATTCCACAGCACTGTCTTTGGAATTTCCCTCATCCCTTGTCAAGTCTACAACCACGCCCCTGTCCTTCCTTCTCTTGCTGTGTCGTCTGCGTTTGGGAAGTGTCTTATGTTTCAACTTGTGGTAGTCTACCTCTGTAACTTTGAGCTTCTTTTTTGCAGGACTCTGTCGAAGAGGAAGGCCATTTTCAATAGAGGAACTTTGACGGAGATCCTTTAGCAGAGAATTCCACAGTCGTGATAGTATTCTCAAGGATAGCTGAATCATCGACCACGAATGTCGCTGATCTCAATTCATCGACTCTTTCCTGAAGGCGCTTCCTGAGCCTTTGAGTTATTAAAGGTTGCTTGTTGTCGTTGATTTTTGGCCGGGAAGAAGTGTCACTGGATTGAGCAGGTGCATCATCGTCATCGGAAGATGAGGCGGGGACTGTTGTTTCTGCACCGCATACTTGACTGTAATAGTCATTTCCCTCGTCCGTTGAACCTCGGTTCCGAGGTTGGTTGTTCGTCAGGATCGGCTTGATCAAAATGCACGGTGTCCAGAGTTATGAAGACGCTATTTTTGTAAGAATGCGGTAAGCTGTTAAAGCTCCACTCGTCAAAGAAGTTGAAAACAGCAAAAGTGTGTTTACAAGGGAAATGCGTTTTACGCCAGCTTTCACATTTGCAGCTTGGCTTTAACAGCTTGACAGAAAACAGCTTCGTACTGTTCGAACTGCTTTTGACGAGAAATTCACCCTTTTCTAAATTGACACATTTCACGTCATGTTCGGCAAACTCAGCAGCCCCAAAGTTGCTCCTGAGGCAGTGTTTGACGAAATGAGGAGGACGGTTGTGAAGATACTCAGGTATATCGCGCTTGAATTCACGATAAGAACCACTCAGCTGAAGGTTGGTGTCCAGGTAGTGTTGGTAGGAATCAGGGATAAAGGACTCCACGATCATCACCACTATTCCAAAAACTGATTTGTCAAGTGATCCAGGCAAATACCTGTATTTGAACAACTTATTCTGCGCTTCAATTCCATTGTTGGTATTCACGATGTTGACGGCCTGTTGAACACGAAATGCATGAGCCCAACGATCGGAACAGTCCAACCACACCTTCTCGCTGTATTCTTGTACTTTGGGATTTTCCAAGTACAACGTCGACTTTCTCAGGCTTTCCACGGCCTTCTTGTAGGACGTCTCCGAACGAGCACGAGCAATTGCTTGCATCAGTTCTAGAAACATCTTTTGTTCCCCTACGGTCAGTCCATTTTTGCCGGCTTTGACCCATCTCTGCCACGCCTGCTCGCGGTGAAAATCGCATATGTATACCGCAACATCTGGGAATTCGCTTTCGATAGCATTTATTTCCGCCATCGAATAATCTACCATGAAATACTTTGGTTTCCACGTAGGATTCCAGCTCTTGATGATATTAAGGGCTTCCGCGATGCATTCATTGTCCTCGTTCTGGCAGAGAAATTCGGCTACAACCTTATAACCCACATTGGTGTGGACACACACGAAAAACAAAGGGATTGCATACTTAGTCGTTTTGTAGGTGGCATCCATAAGTACAAGGTCACTGCCATACCTGAGGAGAAGCCTCCCCTGCCATTCTTCTTGGTGTACGAACAAAAACTTTGTCTCTTCGCCATCCTTGACCTCGTCCCTTGTCCTGAAGTAGAACTTGGATGATGGGGAGTCACGCCTCCATTGCTCAATTTTGCGCTTTAGTGACTCTTGGTCATCACCGCAGTATTTGCTGGCGCTGATTTCTCGAGCGATATGACTTCGCAAATCCTGGCGACTAGGGTAATATCGTCGGTTCGACTTTCGGGGTTTCTGATGACCTTCATGACTTCCAAACATTTCTTTGTCGACGTACTGCTCCAAGCATTTCCGTACCACATCTGGACTAGTTATATTTTCACTAACCAGCTCGCGGATCTTGCTTGCGATTTTCGGATGGATGGAGTGACCTATTGTGGCGGCCTCACCGACAGGATGTACTTTGTGTGCTGTACTAAGGGGAAGCCTGAAATAGAATCTTGTCGTCGTTCTTAGGCGCTTCCCCGTCTGCTTGTCATCCTTTAATTGCTTGAGAATCCCGGCTTTTGCCTTCCGTAAACCTTTCTTTGACGAGCACTCTTCAGGTTCTAAAGTATAATCAGCGTACAGCCGTATAGCTCGCACTTGCAGACTTGCTGGGCAGTCGAGTTTTCTTGATCCTTGAACTTTAATGTAACCTCCGGAGCTGGCTAAGTAATCGTGTCCTGAGGTATTTCGAGGTTTCTGTTTCTTTCCACCTCGAGAATCCTATATTTTCACAGAGAAACAAAAAGTAATGATAAGGTTCTAAGCACTCTATGCCACGTTTTTGAAAATGTCGTAGCAAACCGTGTCAATAGTATCCTTACCGCCTTTGGTCCATGCAGGCAATGTCTTGTTTCCACGGTTACCACTGAGAATGGGTGGGCCAGACAGGCAATAGGAAGGTTGCCAGACTTTTGCTCAAACATGGGTTGTACTAAAAAAGACGGAACTATCGACATCATAAAGAGAGATTTTACAAAGCTGTTACATAGCGCGACTATTGAAATATTGAAAAACTTTCCGTAAAGCAAAAAAGATGATTTTGTTTTCCAACTGAGATTTCTGGCACTTGCGACTGGAGTATTTTATAAAGAGGCTGTCAAAACGACATTTATTCAGTTTTCTTTTTATGTTAACCACAGACCCCGGAGCCCGGTGTTTTCCAAGTATGTTCGGAAATTCTCCCTTGCGTTTTATTTTATGTGTGATGAATCCTGAAAACTCGATATCTTTTTCATTATTTCAAATGTATTTTTTACACTATAGATCTTTATTTACCTTCGTATAATAAGTTACTCCCCACATGTCAACTGTTTTATGTTTCTACCCACGTGTCATTCTTGGAACTCTATTTTGGTAAATTAAAGATTTCTGGAGACTCAAGCTTTCACAATTTCGGGCTGCTTTCTTTGTTTTTCAAAAAAAAAAAGAAAAAAGAGTGTAAACAAAACAGATCCGGTCCACACGAGCATGTTTTTCACAACGCCTTGTCTTTTCTTCCAAACCCGTGTAAACTGTTAAAAACCTTTCGGGCCGAGGTTAAAGAAAAATGTTATCATTTTCAGACTACGAAAAACGCTTTATTAAATAGTCGCTAAATCTTAATCGTGAATGATCGTTGACTTTTATGACGATGATTTAGCATTCCTTCGTACTCATTTTCTCACCGGTGGAAGTTGTGCAATAGTCTATCAACGCACGTGTGGAACGGATGCCGTAGGTGCCTTCGGATAATTACCGAAATTAAAATCCTGGCCACTTGATGGCTCAATTTTATTGAACTGTTGCGACATAATATTTCGCTTTCATTTCTTCATTAAAATATGGACGTCGCATCTGGGCTCCATAAATGACTAGCATATTTCCGCCTTTAATGAACAAAAGGCAGCGAAAGGTCAAGTTGTTTTGTAATGTAAATATGAAAACCCTGGCATGGCCTGCCTTGACTGTATTCGTCCTCTGTTTTGCGCAATCGTTTTCCTTTTCCCGAAAATTGCAAACCTAAAATGCTCAAAAGAAAAAGTAAAGAAGATTGAAAATACCATTTTCGGATGATCTGCGCGACCTTTCCTTGACCTCTGTTGTGGAGCGCACAAAACATGTAGAATTCAATGTGGTGAATTGCTCAATGAGATCTTCCTTCCGTTCCTCTGTCCCATCTAAAAACCCGTAACCGTAGTCTCTATCAACGCGTACCTCGCAGAGGTTTGCATGAAGAAACTCGATTTCCTTTTTAACTAGCGTAGATTGTTTACCAGAACTATTTGGATTACAGCTAAGGCTAGTAGCCCGCGTTGCAAAAAAATTCGGATGACATCTCGTTAGCAAGGCAAGGTCAATGAGCCCTGATAAGGACGTGACTTTAAGTAATAGCGCGGGATTCTTGCCACTGGTTATAATTAACAGCTGATTCAACCCTAGTCCCCAAGTTGAGCTCCCCTTAGTTAGTTATTACTAAAGTGGGACGACCGCTGACACAATAAAATCATACTGCGGAAGGGTGTCACAGAGTCTACTTGGGAATTCGCGACCCACGATCAGAGAACCCTCTCAACATTGACCTTATAGCATGATGCAGCATGTGACAACTATGAAGTAGTAGCCAGACTCGACCGTGTTCCCGTAATTTTATTTTTTTACAATTTCTGTACCGGAAATAAAGAGTACTTTTCATGCACATGGTAATCAGGTTCGCAGAAAATTTTGATAAAAATTAAGGGATTTACTTCGGACATAAAATATCACAAAATGTTAGAAGGTGTCCTTGTGGTTTATTCATGCAGGTCTTTCAAGAGTCATCAACCTAATCAGTAAGACTCCTAAGCACAAGCATCTAAAGCGCCGGCTTTTATTCCAAAAAGAGAAAAGTAATACTGGGGAGTAGAAAGACTGAAAGAAACCAAGTCCAAATGTCTTCCCCCAAGATGGTATTACCCCGAAAGGTATGGGGAAAAATGTAACAAGATTTTCGCTCCATGGTTAAGAATGGGAAGGTGAATATCTCCCTGAGCTAAGTCAATGTCGTTCGAAGGGCGAGTAACGTTAACCACGGATTGACTGCAAACAGAGTTGTGTATGATGTGACATTCACATGTAGATAACTATATATGGCCATGGAATTATGCTAATCGCACTTTTAATAACCCGTGGCTTACAAATTCCAGTAAACGAGATTGTTGACTTACCGAAGTGAAAAAGCGTACTCAAGGTTGACTTCAATGTGAGACTGCATGCGAAAGTAAAAACAGGGAAAACCAAGTAATGCGCCACCCGATGTAAACCCTCATGCTTCACGCTTTTTGCTTTAAACGTCACATGGGTGATCGCATGAATATAACTATTCATAAATACGCCAATTCCTACCATTGCAACATTAGCCAAAAAAAATTAGTATTGACCATGACTTCCTTTTCACTCCTAACTTCCGTATGTGCAGAAAGAAAACTTTTAACCGCTTTTAATCGAGAGACACTCAGAATACTTGATGTTTAAGCTAGATGGAATGATTACTTGTTATCATTCATAGGTTAATTTGACCAAAGTCCTCGTTAGGAAAAAAAGAACAAATTAGTGTTCGGCGCTCCCGCCAGATGGGAAATGTTTCGTTTGTCATCAGGAGGCTGAACTGACGGATGGTA